ACAACATCACCCCCCCCTCCAGAAAAGAGTTGTGTCACCAGGGCTTAAAGCCCTCTGTTTTTATTGGAGAAATTTAGTAACTAGCTTTTTTACTTAAGAAAATTTTGGTAAATTAATCAGTGAGTCTTTAATACTTGCTAGTTCAATAATGATTATATAGCTTTAATGAGCCACTGTGTGTGAAAAAAAATCTCAATAGATGTATGTGTTCTACTCCTGAGAGGTTGATTTTTTCTTTCAGGATTAGAATGGATGGACCTCCTTGTCACATACAACAGTGCAGGCTTGAAATTTTTCTGGCATAGTTGTAAGAGCCTGAGCCCCAGCTGCTTCTGACCTTATAGAGAACCATTACCACTGCTGATCCTGGCAGCAGAGATGGGTCTTTGCCCTGGAGACATGTTTTTCTCCACTTGAAAATGATATAGAGTGTTTATTCTTAATTTGACTGTGTTCTTAGAGACTTGAACCTTTTCCTAGTGGTTTATAAGACTCTTCTGTGATCTCTCTCTCTCTCTCTCTTTCTCTCTCCTTCTCTCCCTACTTCTGTCTTAAAAGCATTCCTGTGGTGATTGCTATTCTCACAGCCTATGGTGGACATCCAGGACATGACCCCATACAGGGGTCATGTTCCAGTATATTGACCTGTAGCCAGTGGTTAAACAGGAAGCACTAGACTCTAACATTAAAAATAAAAGAAGATCCTGGGCTAGAGTAGAGGTTAGTGGTGGGGAGCTTGACAAATATTCACAAGTCTACAGGTTAAATCTTCCCTCCACAACAAAAAAGAGGAAAAAATAAAAAAGAAGATATAATTACTCCAATTTTCTAATACTCTGGTTTTTTTCATTCAGCAAGAAGCTGACTGCTTTCAGGAGAATCAAGAGCCTAGACTGCCATCCTTAGATGACATTCCTTTACAGAGACTCAGATAAAAAAAAGATTGTGGAGCCAATAGGCAGCTCCACTGGAGTAGGAGACAGTGTGGAATGTGACTAGGTACAGCCCCAAGGGTTTTCTTTCTCTGACAACTGTGAGATTTTCCCCTACCACATGACTTACAAACAAACAGCTTTAAAGACCATTCTACGTATTAGAGTGCAGTGAACAGCAGCAAGAAATGCTTAAGTCCAATCTAAAGATTCACAGTGCAATGGTATCATGTCCCGTCTGCCATTTCAAAATGACCAGAACACCAAAAAGATGCCATCTGTTGAATTTCATGGCTGCAGAAGTATGAGTCACCCACTTCAAGAGGATGCTGAATATCTCCAACATGTCACTCTTGAAATTGGACTAGGTCTTCTTTCCTCAGTTGGAAGAGGAATAAAGGAAGCCTAAGTGCACTCTGATGGCTCAGTTGACTTTTGGCAGAGGGCAGAGGATTTTGGACTATAGCAACAGTCAGGTGTAGCTTAAAGAATACAGAGAAGCCAAGAATAGGGCAAAGGCTACAGATCTTAATTTCGGCAATTCTCCGGTGGTCTCTTTTCCTTAACGAGGCAGATACTAGGGTCCCAGAAAAAACTATCAAAACCAACAGTGCCACCTAGGCCTAGGCTGAACTTAGGCTAGGATATCTAGCCATAATTTCTGGGTAGCCATTTCACATCCACATTAGGCAAGCTGAATAGTCAATGAATTAACTATGTCATCCCAGTATCTCTCTGATGGCCTTAACTTTCTTGTGTCAGATGCTGTGCAAATCTTAAGGAAGAGTATGTCCTTCCCAAGAGTTATAGCAGGATCTAAGAAGAGAACAGAAATAAAACCAGACAGAACTCTTACAGCTATAACAAGGAACAGAAACTCAATGGAGCAGATCTGCCAAGCAGATCCGTGGGCAGCACTACAGAGAATGCTGGGCTTCTCCGGCACATTGGGCATGATCTCCACACTGGGCACCTGGCCAGGGGGCTGCAGAATGCATGGCAGTGGACAGAAGGTCATTGGGAAGGAAAACTAATGCATGTGTGGGACACTTAAAGGTTAAGTTGCTATAACCTGGAATGAAGCAAAGCGAGGTTGTCCATCCACTAGGTTAAATCACTGTACTGAAAATAACACAGGAATAAAAAACCCTGAGAAGGCTGGTCACAATATTGAATGTCAAGCTGCTCACCAGAGACATGACCACAGGGTGCATTAAGTTCACAGACCTTGTGTTTCTCAAACTGGAGCTGCCAACGTCTGCCAGTACTAGTGCAGAAAGACCAGAAGGGAGGGCAGGTGGCAAATTCCTAGGCTTGTGGCCACAGCACTTACGGCCAGGTTCAGATAGCATTTGCTGGCCCTACCTTGTTTCAGCTTCTCAACCCCTATTCATCTTTATGTGTCTTAAATATTTCTGCTGTACCCAAAGGAGCTTTACACCTCAGCAGAACATGAAGTTTGTTTTTCTTATTCTCAGTGGAATTAGCTTCCCAGTCACAACACCTTTGACCATTTCGGCTTCAGCGTGTTGGATTATTTTGTCCTTAAGTCTTTACACCACATCTCTCCTAGATTGGGTCAAACATTACAGGTTGAGTTAAGCATTACCAATCACCCTGCTCAGGAGCCCCAGGAGAACCCTTCATGATGCTAGTCAGCATGGACTCCAGGAGTGGCATCCGTGGATATAATCTATGCATTTATTTTCCATCATTGACACTCGCTTTCTCAGACTCAGAAATCAAGGTATGGAATTAATTTAGTGGAGGATACTTAATGGTTATGATTCAAACAGTGCAGGCATTGCCCTCTACACAGATATTCTGGAGGCCTGGTTGGATTTTTCTTTGAAAACAGTGGCCTAACTCTCTTTCCTTTTTCCTGACCCATCCTCTTCAATTCCTCATACAGAAGTTACTACCTTTCCCTCCTTCCTCCAAGTTACTGCTCGAACTATATTTATTTCTAAGCTTAGAATACAATAACTCTCCTTTTCTGAACTTTAAGCCCAAATAGGGGCTAGGCTCTTAAGGTGAAGAACAAGAAAGAGTTGTCATGCATTGGGTGAGGAAAAATATGGTCACTGAACAAATCCACTCCAGTTTGTCATTTATGTTCTAAAGAAGAAGAGCCTGCAGCTCACTGATGCGATCATTGTCTCTTTTCAGGTCTTAGATTGGCACTCTTAGTTCCTTTTGCCAAAGGATTGTAGTTTGGGCACTTGCTTCTTTAATTCACCTATGAGTATTGGGAAGACAGCGACTTCACTGAAAGTCAAGGCCTTTTAGGAGAGCCATTACTGAGGCACAAACACCCAGTGTCCCCTTTTGCCTTATATTAAGCCCACTGGCCCCCAGGACTGCTCATCTCCTCTGTGAGCAGGGTCACCAGTGCTGTCTTCTGGGAACAGGGATTCCATGTGCAAGAGAAGAGACTGCCATCCCTGCGGTGACAGTAGGAACTTCCTTTAGGGAGTTTGGGGAGTACAGAGTGAAAGGAGTCAGCCAACCAACTGTAGAGAGGGGATCCCCAGGGTCCTCACACCAGGGAAAGCTTCTTTACCAGGACAGAGACGGGGTAAGGGGAGGAGGTCAGGCAAGGTGGAGCTATTATTCCTCCAGCACCCTGGCTCCCAGCCGGCTTTCCTCAGATGAAATTCTCTACATCATCCTCCCCAGTTCCAACCCCTCCCCTCTCCACCCCGCCCCGCCCTGTGCCCATCCCTGCTGGCCACTGGGTCCATCGCCCAGGAACCACCTCCCCTTTCTCCTCCCCTGCGGTTCTTTCTGTCCCCCCCCCCCCCCGTTGGCATCTGGCCGGGCACAGCCACCACCCGCCCTCTACTCTCCCCACTTCCCTTTGGTCCGCAAAGGTCCTGTTCCTGTTCCTCTTCCCTTCCCCCACCCAGCCCACCTCTGACAGGCCAAGAGAGAGAGGAGGAGGATGCATTCCTTTAGTCCTCCCTCCTCCGGGGACCTGAGGCTCTAAGCTGGGGTGCCCTTCTTCTTATCTCTAAACACTTCTTCAAGCCACCCCATTAACCACCAGCAGTCCTTAAGAAGGCTGAGGTGCCCCCACAGCGCTGACCTACATAGCCTGGCCTGGGGCGGGAGGGGCTCTTCCCCAAGTCCCCTCTCCCTTGGCCCCGCCTCCTTTCTTCACCCCCCACTCCCTTCCTTCACCTCTTTACCTTTCCAAACCCAAGAAGGGTTGAGTTGCAGACTGGGGCAAAGAGGCTAGTCTGCTACCCCGCCCTAAATTTGGGGAAATTGATGCTCAGCTCAGGAAAGCTTTGGGCTTCCCATCGATCCTTCTCCCCAAATATCTTGCTCTCTCCTTTTGCTGCCCCGCACCCAAGTATAGGTTTTCTTTCCCAGATTTTGCCACCACTAGGACTAGAGCCAAACTGGGGCCCCCTCCGCCCAGTGTTGTTGTTTTGCTTCAAGGAGAAGCCCCTCTCCTTTGCCCACGCCCCCCTCGACAGCCTCACCCAAGCCCCCTTCCCTGCCCACTCAGAGCTCCGCGGCGGGTGGGGGACGCGCGGGGGAGCAGAAATGTTTGCATGCAGCAGTTTGGGGGATCGTTCTGGCCACCCAACCCCTACAGACATACATACACAAACACCCAACACACGCCCTGACTGAAACAGCGGCAAATCTCACTCCGCCCCCAACACACACTGACACAGACATACACACAGACTCTGACACAGAAACGCAGCACCAGACACCAACATAGACGCGCACACCCAGACACATACGGACATCAACACTTCCAGACCCCGGCTGCTCCAAATAGACAGCAACCCCCCCGAGATCCAGACCCCTACTGCACACGCAGACACACACAGTCGGCTCTGTACATAGAAGGGTGCACACGCCGGCACACCCCACGGTCCTCAGAGACAGCGATGCTCAGAGACAGACACAAGGGTATTCCAAGAGCCTGGCGACTTGAACCCTCGCTTCTAAACAAAGCCAACAGGCTCCCTGCTCCCGACTCCCAATGTGAACCCCCACCTCGGGGCTTTGGTCACCTCCCCTGGCGCCGCCCCCTCCCTCACTCACCGTCCTGGGAAAGATTGGCCCCGCCGGGTGCCCAGGAGCAGGCGAGGAGCAGGAGCAGGGGCAGGGCGGAAGGGGCCCCCATCGCGCTTCCTGGCCGCCTCCCCGGCTGGGCGCTGGCGAGCCTGGATCTCCGGGGACTGGGGCCGGGGGCACTGGGTAGACCGCGTCGCTGGCCAAAAGGGCGCCCCCGGAGCGGCTTCCAAGCCCGGGGCCGAGGCGGGTACCGGGAGGGAGCCGGCGCTGCTGCAGTCGCCGGGATTAAATAGGGCGCTCGGAGCAAACCATTCGGTTGGAGGTGGAGGGGGGGTGACGGGGGGCTGGGCTGGTGGCGGGGGGGCCTGGATGCCGCATTCCCTACTCCCCCCGCCTCCCACACCCCCTCCGCGCTTTTGTGGTGTCTTCCATCTTCTCCCCTGGGAGCTCCTCCAGCACCACTCGGGTGTGGAGCAAAGGAAGGGAGCTGGCTCAGCAATGGGACCCCACGCGCACCCCTCTTAGGCTTGGGGTGGAGAGAGGGGAGGTGGGCAGGGCGGTGGGCCAGCTGGCGAGAGCGTCCACTGCAGGCCTGGGCAAGGGCGTGCCCACTAGCCTGAGATCCTCCGGCCCCGCCTTCTCCTTAGGCAACCGGGATCCCCAAAGCTAGGGCACCCCTATCAGCAGTGTGGCCAAGTATACCTCCCCAGGGTACCTACTTACTCAAGCCTTTCTCCTAAGCTTAGCCTCCTTAGTTCCTCTTCCTCAAGACCTTCTACTTGTCCAGCAACAATTTGTGGCTCCAGGCAGCCTCCTTTGCAAAGCAGACCCAAGGAGGTCACGGGACTCAATTCCTCTTAAGTCTTCTTCAAAGACATCATCCCAGACACTAAACCAAAGAAGTGTCCTGCAAAGTAACTCCCAGTTTCACTCCTCGATGCCCTCTTTAGCCCCAGCTAGCCCTGCAATACCCCCTTCTTCTCAGTCTTCCAGACAGTCTCATCTTCTCAACTTTTAGCTAGTAAGAACCCACGGTGAAAGGCAGACCCACACACCCTCTTACAGACCAAGAAACGGTGTGATGAATGCCTCTGTGGTCACCAAGGCTATATAGAAGATGGATGAGAAATACAGTGCACTTGCTCACACCCAAGAGTCCCAAGTCCCCAGTGTTTGCTGTTCTTTCAGGTTATCTCTGGGAAAGTTTTTTTGGTATGTTTCAGAAAATGATCATTTTGGGTTAGTTTTGTTGGAATTTAGCTTTGGGGAATGAATTCCTAAATTTTAGAATCCTAAAAATCAGGCAATTTTAGGTATGTTAAGAGTCCTTTAAAAATAATAAACCTGATCTAACTTAAGCCAGGTTTTATACTCGCTCATCAGCAGAAGGCACAGCAGTGGGCATCAGAGGAAAGAGTATATGGAGATTCGTTCTAGAAGTGAGATGTGGGTGTCTCTAATAACGCCTGCAGCCCATTTCCCATGCTGCGTTCTTGTGCTAGCCTTTAACGTTTGAGTAATCTTTCTGTCCCTATGTCAAGGTTTCTTAGTTCTGGATGGTGATGTAGTTAATGTCCCTGTCATCTAAGAACCCGAGGACAGCCTGCAGTACATAATCTGTAACGGGTAAAGCCTTGTCTAAATGACAAGCAGTGAAGTTGGGGCTGAGAATATACTGTTCAGGGAAGCCTGCAGGCTGGTCTGGGTCTGCTCTGATATTTTTCCCTCACTATTTCTGGACTTTATAGTTTCTAGAGAAGTCTGCTTGCCTCTTGGACATTTCTTGGCTGTCTGGGTGGTTATTATTTTTTTTTCCTAGATGATATTGAACAGTGTCTGATTTGACCTGTGTTGGCGACTCTTGACTCTTTTTGCCTCCCCTAGCTCTCTACTATCTTGAAATCTGAGCAATGACAATGGGGTAGTATACAGTGTGGGGACATGGAGACATGGATATGAGAGGGGTAGGAGGCTAGACAGGGTAAGGAGAGTTTGTAGGAAGATTACACTTCTTGACGGAGGTGGGACCAGGTTGGTATGGGGTTGGTTATGATAAGAAAACGAAGGAATGTGGTAAAACAAAACAAAACCCAACAACAAAACAAACTGTCAGCCTCGGTGGGAAGGATCAGGCTTTTCTAGTTAACGGCTCTTGATGGATAAAGAGTATTTGAGCTACGAGAAACGTTTAGCCTTGGATTTAGAGAGGACAGGGTAAGGGGTGTGGAGGTGAGTTAGGTGGGGGTAGGCGGGATGTGGGATTAAGTCCCGAAGTCCTTTAATTAGCCATCTTTTCCATCTGGTGCTTCACAGGATCCCCTTCTGCCTGTCCTTAATTCTCTGATGACTGCTGCTCTGGCCCCGCCCTCTACTGTAAGGGGTGGGTACCAGGGGTGGGAGGGAGAAAGAGAGCTGTTTTGGTGAGGCACTATTAAGGCTAGCAAATGAGTCTCTGGGATGCTCTTTTCCTACTGGCTCCTCTTTCCTTCATCACGTCATCGGGATGAGTTTGGCAGCCTTTTAGATCTTGGTAATATGAAGTTGCCGTTGACTTTTAGAGTTACGGAATAAAAATGTATTAGAGCTGCAAAGAACCTTGAAGATCATCCTTTTAAATTGGGTCTTTGTTGAACAGATGAGGAAAATGAAGCTCAGAAGCCAAGTGGCTTTCTGTGTTCAATATCTAGCTAGTGAAGGCTGGCAGGACTGGGTGAGGGACAGATAGTAAGTACCCTTTGGAGTCAAGGAGGGTGAGGAGGATCAGACTCAGGAACAGAGAAGAACGTCCAATTTGAAGAGTTCCCTTCTCCTGTTTACCTCAAAATGGTACTTTTTCCTACAAGGAATGTATTCTATTTAGAAGAACCCTTTCTCTATAATTCTTCTATTGCCCTGTCTGCATCAGCCCGTTGCATCTTACAAGCATGTCATTTGCTTAGAAAAAGAGCGAGCATTACAAAGAAAGACTGACCTACAAGGATTATCCGATCATAAAAATAGGTAGAACATAAGTATCTCTGTTGGATTGTGATCTCTATGGTTACTCCTCACTCGAAAATGCTATGACATACAATTTGCATTTCCCAGAGCCTTGCACGAGGTCTGAGATGGATTGTCTGTGGGATGACAGAGCTGGCAGCTACAGTGAAATTTGGGGAGAGTCAAGAAAGGGAGGGGAGAGAGGGTGAGTGTGGCCTCCTGCATGGCCCTGTCCACTCAGCAACAGCCTGGGTATCTGGGGGTGTGGAATGTGATACTGGCACCGATGCCGGGCTAGACACAGCTGTGTGGGCCCTGGGCATTCCTTCCCCACGCAGCTTCTGCTCAAAGGGGAGCGAGAAGGAGCTTAGCTTGTAGAGGGTGCGTTTTATGTGTTTTTCTGGGAGGGGCCAGCAGCACCTATGGGGAAAAACACATCTGAGAAGGTGTGCCTCAGCAGTCCCCCAGATCCTTCCTCGCACTCTGACCCTTTCCTTCTCTGTGACTTTTATTAGTCGACTCTATGCAGGTCCCTACCTACACTGCTTTGCTCTTCGATTTTCCACCCAACTAAACCAGTACTTGGCAATACCACCCCTTACTTTTATTATCCAGTTTTAATTAACACCATCCTTAATAATAACCTCAAAACGAATTTTAATTCTAGCCTTAATTGAATTCTAATTTTAATCCTAACCCTAATCTATTAAGCATTTTAACTACCAGTCCTAATAACAGCCCCAACTTAATTATCAGTTTTAACTAGTATCTTCATTGTAACCAGGTTCGAGCTGGCAAGGAGAAGAGCAACATGCACATGGTGAAAAATGGCCACAGATCCCAGGAATTACGAAGCCATCATTTATAGCCTTCATGCTGAGTGCTTTGTATACACAGTATCTCATGTGGGTACCAGCAGCTACCTAATGTGGTTGAATTTATTAGTTCCGTTACTGTTGCAAAACAGGGTGTAACATGATTGCATTTGTAATCAGGGGATCCACAGCCAGGCCTGCTTGATCCATGATCCTGTGCTCACTTCTTGGCTACCAACAAGTAATTCTGACCCATCTTCTCCTAAAATCTCAACTAACACCCACTAGCTTGACTTCTACGTATCGTTACTGAATTTTGTTTTATTTTTAAGTAAGTAACAGAAACAAAGTAGAGAACGAGCAAATTGCAAAATCCCTGCGTGTCCCTGCCTACAGATCCTATTGGTACTTTGAAACATTAAAGTAATTTATTGATGAAGTTAAAATATTCAGACTATAGAAAGGAACTCACTGCAGAGAAAAGCCTTCTCGCCTTCGCCTTCTCAGAGTAGCCATATTGCACAACCCCAGGGGGCATCGTTCTAATTGGCGTTGTGTAACAGGGCAACGCTGCCTCCCACAGTTTTTCAGGCAAGCAGATAAAGTCAAGGTAAATAGCTACCAAATTAAATCACCGTGTGTGTGTGTGTGTGTGTGTGTGTGTGTGTGTGTGTGTGTGTGTGTGTATGACTTAGGGATGACAATCACTAGACACCTGGACTTTCTAATTAACAATAACTACTAAGGGCCAGGTTCTCAGCTAAATTCTCTGCACTTGTTACACAATTTAATATTCACATGCCCTTGTGCGGTGCTCATCACCTCTAAGACAGAGGAGGATGGCAGGCAGGTCCGAAGAAGCCTGGTTGCACCATGATGGGGAACGACACAAATCCAGGCCTCAAAGTCTACATTCTTAACTTTGTGCTTAGCTGGAAAAGCTGCTCAGAGCTGGGCTCTGAAGGTCATGTGGGCTTAGTTCTTAATGTCAGAGAAGCGGAGTTGCCTGACATTAGACAAGAGGATGACCTATGAGGCTGTCGATAGACTCAGATTGATATAGGAGGAGACTCTGTGAGGCAGAAGGGGCCAGGATTACTACATTACAGAGGGAAATGAGCAAAACGTAAGGGAGCAGAAGGGAAACAGAATAGGAGCAGAGACGGGGGAAATTGTTTTGTGATAAATTCAAGCAAAAATAAAATCATATAATAAATTTGTGTGTCACCATTGTTCCAGCTCCAGGCTGATTGATGTATTATGGAAAGACAGCAGACATACATAATCTTCTGTAAATGAAAATGCGCGTTTTCAGTTACCTGGGGATCGGTAGCCTCTCCTGTGAGGAGCTTCCACACTGCTCACCTTGATTCTGTGTTCCTGCAATATCAAGCTGTTTGTAATTCCCCAAACACACTTAGTTGTTTCATGCCTCAGTGTCTTTGCACATACCCTTCTCCATACGTGGATTACCCCTCTCATCA